GGAAAAACTAAAGATGAAGAAGTTAATAAATATTATTTTACATATAATATCAGTCTGAAAACTTCAATACTGACCTTTAATCTTAATGAGTCTGAGATCGTACGCATTAAATGTACAGATGGACAAGATGGTGGCAATAAAATTGCAACTGTTACTGATTTAGGTTAGTGTACCAATATTTAAAAGCTTAAAATTAATTTTAAATTCTTATCAATAGGTTATTATGCAAAAGCTCCAACGAACTTAACGACAACCTTCAATGCAAGTGGAGTTACTTTAGAATGGGAGGACACTGATAATAACTGTACTTCTACTGAGTATCAAGTGACTCTCAATGGTACATCAACCAGTGTATTGGCCTATAATACTAACAAGACAACTATACGTATAAACTCAAATGAACTAAACACAACAGAAACATATACATACACTGTTGGAGGGTGGAATGAACAGCTAAGTAACATCAGTAAACCATTCACACTTAGTAAGGATATAAGCTCAGTAACATGTATCTAATTTTGATTTGTAGCTGCTATTGAAGTGATGAGTGTTACAATAAATACAACTAATACTACTGATCCTTGTAAGAATAATAGTTGCTGTGCTGATGTTACACTGAATATAATACTGGTGAGAGATAATGAATATTTCATAGTGTTAATGAACTAATTCATGTAGGCATCATTAGAACTAGATGTGAAGCATCCAAGTCAGTACTACAACATATCATACAACTCCAATACTGGAAATATACCAGCAACATATGAAGTAATTGATTATGATAAAACAGTATGGACTGGATCAGGATTAAAATATAATGAAACCTATTGCTTTACAGTGACACCAATGAATTATTTCAGCACAGGAAAGCCAATAAGTATGTTGTATGCATAATAGTTCATATATTGAGTACTTTATATATACAGATAATGATACAACTACTGAATATCCATGTCGACCATCAGAAAATAAATGTGGTATAAAATGCATTATAGCTATAGGGTGCAGTATAGGAGGAGTTTTGATAATTGTTTTAATGGGATCAATAATATTTACAGGCATAGTGTATTTAGTGTATC